TTTGCTCAACTACAAGGTAATTGTTTTGCCTGTGCTACTGAGAAGAAAATGGAGGCTCAGAGAAGCAGACACAAGTTTAATCCTGTTTTTACTCTGTGCATTCTCTTTGATAATAGCAATTTCAATGTTTGGTGTGAAAAAGTGGGAAGCATATGTACATATACTTTATGAATGTAATTATCTAAATAGTGATCCAGTAAAAGTTATAAAAATACAAAATGATATTTGTCTTTGTTTAGAGATACTTCTTTTCTTATTCTTAGATTTTCTGTGTTTTTATAATACTTTGTTGCTTCTATATTGTCATCATCACAATCACCATTATTACCCCATTGCCATAATCATCATCACTACCATTGTCATCATCACCATCAAAATGTACATATGGCTTTAAAAAAAAAAGTTGTTTTCTGTTTCTTGGATTATCAACATTCTGAAGAGTTTTAAGAATTTTATAGAAATAAATTTCAGGATTTTTTAAAGACTTGATTAGTCTAATAAAATCCATAATGAACATTTGCCATAAACTCTGAGAGCTTTTGTTAGCACTGTGTCGCACAGTTGTTCTCCCACTTATTCTTTAAGAAACAAAAAAGATATTGGAATAATTACACTGAAAATAGGACTGGTAGTTTGGTCTAGGAAGTATTCTGGAAAGCCTTGCATTGTGTAGAAAATGTTTGAGGGGCTGGGAAGGTGGCTCAGTGGTAGAGCACTTGCCTTGCATGCATGAGGCCCTGGGTTCGATTCCTCAGCACCACATAAGCAAAAAGAAAAAAGCCAGAAGTGGCGCCGTGGCTCAAGTGGTAGAATGCTAGCTTTGAGCTGAAGAGCTGAGGGACAGCACCCAGGCCCAGAGTTCAGACCCCAGGACTGGACCCCCACCCCAAAAGAAAATGTTTGAGTTAAGTGATTTCATTTATATTATAGCACTTCACCAAGAGATAAAGGAGCTTCCAAAATACCAAAAAGAACTAATCAGTTACATAGAAGTATAGTCAATGATAGAAATATTTTTATCCACATGATGCTGAATGCGTGAATGAACTGGTCCAAGGTGTTCTTCTTGGCTTCTGTGTAGAATGGAAAGAGGACAAATGAGGTCATCTACACTATTCCTTCTCTATGTCAAAAGAATTGATTTTAAAACAAAAGATCCAATCAATACTCTACATAATTTCAAGCAGTAAGTTGGAGTATTTTTTTCATTGAAATTACCTCAAACTAAGGTGATTTCCTAAAATATAATTGAATCTTGAATAATAGGAAAATGGTTCTGACCTAGAATTTCTACACAGAAACCTCTGTACCTATGTTAACAATAAAAATAAAACAAAAACCCTGTGTTTGTCTTTTTAAAGGTAATTCTGTTAAAATTGTAATCCTTTTGGTATTCAACCTTGACTCTAATAAGTTTCTTGGAAAGAACTGGCTAGTTCAGTATTTGTTAAAATGTAAACTTAACTTGCCTAAAAGAAAATATGCAGAGAAAAATATTAAAGTAAAAAGTCCTTGAGTTATAAAGGATGGCATTTTTAATCATATGAGAATTTAAGTCAAGAATTACTTCAAAAAAGAAGCAAGACAAATCACAGGTCACTAATTTTGTACAAAAATCACTTCTTTCCCCCAGAGAGCTGTCATGTATTCATCAATTGTGCCACTGTTCATCCAAATGTAGAACCTTGGTGCCATATTGACTTTTCCCCTGCATCCAATCCTACTGTCCAATATGTTCATATTGTACCATCCTTTTTTTGAGATGCTTCTCTGGTTTACACCTTTGAAATTATATTTGTATCATTATCAACAGGTTCTACAGCTTTCTGCCATGAGTGTGTGTGTGTGTGTGTGTGAGTGTGTGGTGTGTGTGTGTGTGTGTGTGTGTGTGTGTGTGTGTACAGGTACTGGGGCTTGAACTCAGGGACTCATATCCTTGCTCAGATTTTTTTCTCACAGTTGGCCACTATCACTGGATCCATAAATAAGTCTCACAGATTTGTTGGCTCAGGTTGGCTTCCTACTCTGATCCTCTGATCTCAGCTTTCTTAGTAGGTATAGGATTATAGGTGTGAGTCACCTGCATGTGGGTGCCATGAGTGTTTTGAAACTCGGATCTACCTTGCTCACAACTATCAAATGTCTTATCTCCAAACAGTTTTCATAACTACTGCTTAGGCTTACTATTCACATTCTTTGTTGCCTCTCCATTCAATTAAAACTCTGATTGCATGATAGTTGGTATCTTCCACAACCCTGCCTCTATCTCTATCTCTCTGTCTCTCTCATGCACACATTATTCTTGACCAAATCTTACTTTTTTACTGCTCTTTTTACTCTCACTAGTATGTCATTCCAGTCATCATGTTATCCAATAAAAACTCCACCTTTCCCCCATTTCCTTGTTTCTTCCTCTAATCTACAGTGTTACCATCCCAGCCACCCTATTGGTCTTTTGTGAATAGATGGACTGCTGTGCTTAATTTTAACTTTTACTATGTTTAAAAATTATCTTTAAACAGTTGTTCAAGGAGATGTCAATTAAACATGTCAGTTTATAAGTATAATACATCTTGATCAATGTCACCCTATCATGGCTTCTCTCATCTCTCACAACCTCACCCATTCCCTCAAATTATTGGGAGTTTTACTGTTACTTTTCACATACTCCCAGAGCCTTCTCAAAAGGTGCCCCATCCACAAATACTTTAATGATCTTTCTAGTATCATAATGCCCCTTGGTTTTTACCAACTCCCATTCCATCTGTACTTAAGATTGAATTACATGACACATTACTTGAATGCACTCCTTTTGATTCGTATGTCATTCCATGCTTTTCAACGAGGATATCCGGATATCTTTGGTATTTATAAGAAGACACTTTTTTTGTTGTACAGAATTGCACATTGCAGGCCCTTGGCCTTCTTCACTCTTGGTTCCTGACAGTGTTGTTATATTGACAGACTTAAATGTTTCCAAACATACTGAATATTCATTAGAAAAGTTACTATACCATATGTGTGCCTGCTTAGTTAACAACCTCTGTGTAAGTGGTAAGGTATATTTTTAACAACAAATCTATATTTCCCTGAGAGGTGCCTATAAATTTATAAAAAGTGTAAAGGATCTTAATTAGCCCTTAGGTGATAATCTCCACTCTAATTTAGGCTTATTTCATAAGGTTTCTTTTGCCTGTGCCTTTAAATGGATTCTGGGTGTTGCTTTTAATCTTACTTTATATGTGGGGGAAAAAAAAAACCAAGGCTCACAAAGTTCTGCTCATCCAAGTACATACAGCCTGATTAGAGAGCTTTGTACTTAATCTTGGGATTGTTTGAAGACAAGTCTTCAGTTGTTTCTTCCAGCACATGGCCTTATAAAGTCAGTTTCTCTGTGACAGCTTTAAAAAGACTGTGAACATGTAATATAATTAGCTATTTAAAAATCCATTACTGCTGCAGATAGGTACTAATGGTTGTAATTGAAAGAAGAGACCTTAGACCAGAAAAACAATATTTTAGAATTAATAATAAGAATATAAATTGGAAACTAATGAATGAGTTTACTCACTAGCATTCTTTGCTGCAAATGCTAACCTGTGTTTGGCTAATGAAGATATACACATTCTTTACCTTCCTACTCTATTTGTTAATGTTTGTCTTGGCAAATGGTCAATAGATCTCTCTAGATTTCAATTAGTCAAGTATATTGTAATAGATAGCCAAACCTGCCTTGTATTAGGTAGCAATACAAATGTCACAGAATTAGGAATCTAAGAACTGTCAATCACTGTTCAGGTCTTCTTTTCTATCCCTAGATATCTGCAATAAGGAAGCGAGTATCTGCCACATAAACCACATATCACAATGTTACTAAAATGCTATTTATGTTTCCTTTCAGTTATATTTTCAGTAGTTTATTCCACTGCATGCCCTTATATATGTCCAATTACAACTTTACATTTCAGCTAATCTAGAGTTTAGAAATTCATTGTGTGAATGACCCATATGAACACTTTCAAAAGTACTCTCATTTTCTATCTATACACACAGTTAAATGCATTTATTGCAAAGACAAAAAAGATATAATTCAAGCCATTCAGAAGAACTGGTACTGTTAATTTCATGATTTCACTTCAACTATGAGAATAAATATGTACCACCTGTTTATTATGGTCAACAAAGGAAAAAAAAGGAATTGAAAGCTAATTTTGTAAGTAGTTTGGAACAACTGATAGATGTAAGTAAATATGAGCATGATATAAATGCAACCATAAATGAGGTTATATGTTATTCATTAATAAAACCACTATTTAACTGGAAATTCAGCTTATCTGAATTAAGTTATTACTTAAGTTTAGCTGGAAAAACAGACATTAAAAATTAGCAATTCATTACAACCAAATGGGCTCTATGTTGGCTTTTTTATTAGGACATTTCCTGAGCAAAGAGAATTTTTAGTTTTTATACACTGAGATACCTTAGAGGAAATAGGAAAGGGTGAAAGAATATTCTTCAATTAAGGTAAATGAAAATTAACCTGGTGGCTCTGTTAATAGATCCTTATTGAAGACAAGAAAAGTTCCATTGTTTTGATTTATCTGTTCTCAATCATTAACTGTCATACAATAGAATTTTAAAGATATTTTTGTCTTGCAATATTTTTACCTTTAGGAGCCAGAAGTTTAAATATTAATACCATTTCCAGAATGGCACAAACATCTTAAAGGTAGATTTCTAGAGTTTCTGTGTATACTTTTATATCTTAATAGCACCTGAACTGTTACTTGGTAAAGATGCTATCAAATTCTCCCCATCTATTTTTAGATCTCCAGTTGCTCCACAGAAGGATTTAATATGTAAAACAGAAGCTAATGTTATAAAAAATTTGCATGATTGTATTTTGGATTTTGATATCAGCTAAGAAGGGCAAAGTTGATCCCATCTTACAAGGAACTCTACATTTTCTCTACTGAGCTTGGAGGTTCAGCTTTGCTTACCTGCTTCCTTGAAGACACTGTACTGTTGAAACATCTATTAGAGGCATTTAAACTCAAATTCTTGTTCTGATGATTTGAGTCATTTTTCCATGTCTTAGAGTTTTCTTTAGGGTCTGATGGAATAGGATTTAAGAAGAGGATTCTAGCTATGAACCCATAAAGAACTGTGGCCAGGATCATGGGCACAACATAAAAGATACCAAAGTCCATTAGGTAAATAGGTGAGTAATAATTCCTGGAGATCTTGTAGCCACAGGATACCACAATAGCATCTTTGTAGGTGCTAATATTGAGATCCAGCAAGAAGAACCAGAGCATGCAGTAAATGGATGTGAAAGCCCAGACGAAGATGATGATCTTTTTGGCTCTGGAAAAAGTACAGAGGAATTGGGCTTTGATGGGGTGACAGATTGCTATGTACCTCTCAATGGTAAAGGCCGTGATGGAACACGAGGATGCATTGATTCCCAAGTACTGGAGATAAGTAATGCAAAGGCATCCCACATAGCCATAGACCCAGGAGCCGTAGATGCTGTCTGTTATGTTGGGAAGGCCGGCGGCCACCAGGACCATGAGATCAGCCACTGCCAGACTCACCAGGTAACAATTTGTGGGGGTCCTCATATGCTTGGTTCTCATGACCACCAGGACTACCATGATGTTGCCCACGATGCCCAGGCCACAAATAATCAGCACAAGTAAGATGGTGACCACTTGGTAATCGAGGCCCACGGCTGCTCGGGGTTGAAGCTGGGTCTCGTTCAATTCACTGACTGTCTCGTTCTCCATCTTTAGTGGTTTGAATTGTCTCTGAAATCGTGACTTCTTAAAACATCTTCCCAGCTTTACGACAGCAGTTCTAACCCCTGTGGGTGAGAGATTGTGTACATAATTCAGCCTCAGCCTCACCGTGTCCTGGCAAGTCCAGTTTCTCCCAAGTCCCTCTCAGTTCTTTCCTTTGCCTCCATTTCTCTACAGCAATAGCACCGGCTCCTGAGCACTTTAGAAAACTTCTTCTAACTTTCACGTAGGAGGGTGTAGTGTTGTAATCAGCTCACATCAAAAGGCTCCCTTTAGGAGGGAAAAATGCTTAAAAGAAACAAAAAAAACCTCACAACACTTCCTGCTTTGAAATTGCTCTGATAAAAGAAACAAACAAACCAAACAACAACAACAACAAACAACTAAAGGACATCTCCTAGCTGCAAAATAAACACAAAGAAACCTCTGAGATGCTGGGAGGGAGAGTATAATAAAGAAAAAAGAAACCAGGGGAAATGCCAAGAGACTCTGCTCAAGCTTGGTAGAAATTTAGCTAGCGCTTCTTTGCTCCCAGGGGGTGAAATCTCTGGTAAAACAGAGCAAGCTTTTGAGTCTATGTCTCCTCATCTCATGCAACCCCTATACTCAATAGAGAACATTTTTTTTCTCTCTCTCTTACCTTTTTCTCTCTCACGCTGTCTGCTTTTCTGGGTAGAGGAAATGGTAATAGGTCCAAGTTTCCAATCCTGCAGAAAATCTCTGTTGACAGGGAGACCACTTAGCAGTGTTCAGTGTTTCAGAGCTGCAGCTCTTTAAACTCCTGACAGACCATAGAGCCGACACCACAGCAGCAGAAGCAGGAGCAGCAGCAGCAGCAGCAGCAGCAGCCAGGCTAGCAAATCATAGATCGTCCCCTAATGAGAGCAGAGACTCAAAATCTCTCTCTCTCTCTCTTCTCTCTCTCTCTCTCTCTCTCTCTCTCTCTCGCACACACACACAATCACACACATACTCATAATCACAAGAGCCAGTCACTGCCTGATTCATAATCTTCCTTTGAAGGATTTACTTTTAAATGTGAGGACGATCCAGTTTGCAGTGTGGAAGGCTGAAAACATAAGCAAGGGGGTCCAGGGGGTCTTTGCTGCTCAGAGGCTAACTTCTGCAGCAACTCCAGTACATGAACTGCCATAAGATAGTATTTTCACTCCTCGCTTGACAGGATTTTTGTTTTGAGGGGATGGCAAAACCTTAGTCTAGACACATCCCTTGGAGCTTGAAATGTCTGAGCTGAAAGCAACCTCTTTCTCTACCACAAATCCCTTAGACTGTTTCATCCATGAAACAGTAAAATTGCCTCAGTCCTCTCATATTATATGAATGGAAAATGAGTTAAAACGGATTCTAAACTGTTTTACCTGAAATCTTCCAGGGTTTTCTAAAATTTGCTATTTGAGAATGAATTGAACATCAGGCATCGTCATGCACACCTCTAATCCCAGCCTTCTGGAGGTTGAGGCAGCGAGTGGATTGTGAATTCAGGGCCAGTTTGAGCTATAATAAGACCCTGCGTCAAAAAAAAAAAAAAAGACAAAGTGATTTGTGCTAAAAGCATGAATGAAATTTGTAAATGACTTGTGAAGTTTATCTCTCAACTCTGGGTATCAGAATACTCTGGGTGCCTCCCTTTTCCTCCACTTTTTAAGAATAGTACCCACACGTGTCACCTAGCAATGCTGTGTGTTTAGTTATTTCTACTTGGAAAAGTCATGTAGTGGAATTCTAGTCCAGTGCCACTCTAGCAGCACACCTCTGAAATGTTATATTCTCATCTTTCTAAGAAAAGCACAGTTCCCTCCTTGATTTTTTACTACTCAAAAACATCCTGTGGGCAAACCTGTGCATTTCTATAGGACTTAGAAAACAAGCCTTTTCTCTGGACACCAACTGAATACACCATATGTTAATGTGTGTCTCCTCTTATCATACCAACTGATAACAAAAAATGGCCCTTAGCTAAATTTTCAACAGGATGAACTGATTCCTTATTTTTAAAAGTTTTAGATGTTTTTCCTTCTAGAAAATGTCAATTGAAGAGTCTTATTTTGGGGAGATAGGCCCACAAAGGTGTCAAAAACATGAGGAAATCCTCCAAACCATCAGCTGAGGATGATGTGCAGGATCATATGGGAAGACTAAGACCTCTGAACGATGAAAGAATCCTTGAGTTCCCATTTCTCCTTCCAAATCCTCTGTAATTACCTATTAACTGTCCTGACGTTAGACATGCATTGTTTGACCTATACAAGGCAGGATCAACTGGTGTGTGTGTGTGTGTGTGTGTGTGTGTGTGTGTTGGGGGGATAATTCCAATATATTTTACCTTTTAAAGTTGGGAGAGAAACTGAAGGTTAAATTTGGAGTTTTCTTTATACCTCAAGCCCACCATCTTGAGTACAAATGTTACCTGACTCTGAGGAGTAGCCGCGGAGAGTGGTTCCAGGGTCTTCATTGTGGACTGTGCTCTCTCCTGTGTTCTGCACACTACTATCTCCCTTTTCTCTGTCATACATGTCAGCTGCTTCTCACTAATCGTACATCTGGCTTCTGTCATCATTTGAGTTTTGGTCTCTGTATTCCAAGTTGAGACTGAGAAGAGAAGGTACTGGACAAAGGTACATTCTTTATGCTGAGTAAGAATTTTGCCTGAATTTTAGTCTGTTCTTTCAACTTGTTTAGCAAACCGGACAACGGATATTCCTTTACTTCCTTCCCTATTCTTTAGGACAGAAATTGTTCTCAGGAATTTGTTTCTTGCCTCAATTTCTGATATTCAGACAGAAAAATGATTGGCAAGAGGAAAGGATTGTCTTCTTGTTCTATTCCAACCGTGCCACCTCTACTTCAACTCTATTTATGTATTTATTTATTTATTATTGTATTGAGACAGGGTTTCTATGCTGTGGTACAGTTTGGCTTCAACGCCACAATCTTTCCTCATAGGTGATTAGATAACAGGTGTATATAGGTAAGTACCTTTCTCAAGTCTACTTTCCAATTCTTTTGTCCCTTGCCCTTTGTCTTTAGCCAGACATTCTTACTCATAGACCACTCAATAACAAGTAAAAAGAAGCAGCAGATTCCACAGGCTCCCTTGCAAAATTGTCCTAGTTTACAGTTGAAACTTTTTGTTTGTTCATCTTTTTCTGATATAGTCTCAGACATGTCTTAAGCTTTAAGAAAACTTTTTTAGGCTTACCCCATCCTGTCATTTCCAATTATATGATTTACTCATAATATTGTTTTTCCCTTTTGTGCTTACCCCAAGAAACTTTCTATCCCTTTGCCAAAACTTTGGCCCTACACACACTAGTTAACATGATATCATATTTGTTGACCTTTAGCACAGAAGTCATTGAGAAGAATCTTATCCTTATTTCTGGAGGGAAGTGGTCTTAGCTATCTAGGGGCCAGTACTTATTTACTGATCATTACAAAGTCATCAATAGGTAGATAATTATTTATACTATCAGCATTTCTTACACTTAGCTTGAATCCTTAAGAATTACCTCATGACCTTATTAAAACCTAGGTTCCTGCCTTTGTTCCTACTTCTGTAGATCTGTTGATTGATGACGGAACCAGAGTATTTTATATACTTCCAAGTGATATTGATACTACTAAAGCAATTTTTTGAGTAATATGTACTCTAGGACTAGCTCTGTGGTTCTGATTGAGTGTGATGGGGAGCAATGAAAAATCAGAATATTAAAAATGTTCATGCAAGTCTAGTCCTTCATATTTTAGGGATAGGTAGTTTCCTAGGAATAATGCGTTAAAAAGAAATGGGGATTCAATATCAAACCAGGTGATTTTTTAAAAATAATTTTATATGTTTCCTGTACTACTATAATTGTTTTGGTAGATAGGGAATTTTCAGAAAAGAAAATATCAATTCTTGCTTCAGTCATATGTTCCAGAGACCAGGGAGATTCCTACTGAGACTGAAGAGCATTTGGCTAGGGTAGCAGTTTTCAGGGCCCAAGCCAGGTTGAGGAAAGAGAAAAATTTAAGATGCCCCAAACCTCAGCAATCAGTATCATTAATATTTAATGCAATATCTTTTTTAAAAAAATCAAATTTAGTGCAGAAGTGTCTAAATGAATAAAACATCAGAATTTTAAGTAAAGATAAGAGTCAGTATTATGAATTTTCCCTTTGGCTATAGGCTTTAAGTACTAGTTCTTCACTTAAAATTTTGATATTTTGTTCATGATAAATTATTTTGTATTATTTGATTTTTAAAAACTCTTCTAAAAAAACTCACATTTAGCACTGAGAGTTTTGGGAGCCTCCATAAATTTTCATCATTATTTACTTTGAGCTTAGATTTTTCCATTCATGGCTTAATTTTAGAATCATCTGGATAGTTCCTGATGCAGTTATTCAGAATTTTCTCAGATACAGTATTTTATTAGTAAAGAAGTGAAGCCTAGGCATTTGTATGCAAAAAGATGGTTGGGAACCCCCAAGCCCAAATGAACAAAGCCTGTTCTCTAGGCAAGAGAAATTGGTGGTATTTGGTAGTCCAGACTGTGAAAAGACCAGGGAGATAACTGGGTGCAGATAACTGCTCAAGATTTAGAAAGATGTCAGCACCAGAAAACTAGGCAAAAGAAAGCACAAGTGAAAAACTCAGGTTCCTATGAGAAATTGTATCAGTGATACCTGTTTTCAGGCTTCAGAATTGCTAAATGTGGTGCAATCTATCAAACTGCCTCGCAGACACTAAAACCATGGTGAATAGCTAGTCTATGAGCTGAGATGCTGGGTGTAGAGGTGAAAAAGAAGGTCAGCACAGGGTTTGATGCTGAATCGCCTAGATCCTGCCTGAAGGGTCTTTAAATTTCCTCTCTTTAGGTGTAGAATCCATCACAGATCCTGGAGTAGAAGAAAACCTTTTGAGAAAACATGTCACAATCTTATTTTTTTCTGAAATTTAGACATTACCCAAAGAAAGTTGCTGGCTTTTGATCAACAAATGAAAATGTTTTATGTAATAAGATCGTAAAATTATGCTTTTGCTTATTGGAAAAGACAGAGTCGTGTTTATTCTGAAAGATAAAAATGTGCTGTAAGGTAATGTCTAATTTGAGCACATACTGCTTTTCCTATTTCTCTAGCTTATATATTTTTATATTGTTTAGTATCTATGTTTATGGAGCAAATAAAATCATATTTAAAAGTAAAGCACCATAAAACTCGACCTAAAAGTATTTTGAAGTGGAAATATACCAGCAGAAGTACATCATTATTTTCCCTATGCAGTCTGTCAGATGAACAGCATGTTTATAAAGGGTTAACATATTTGGCAAAACTTTCCCCAAAGTGTCATTCAGGGACATGACCTGACAAAAGATTGAAGAACTGGCTTTTAATCTAACTGTCTAATTTCTGAGCTCATACTTATTTTGATTTATTGCATGTTTTATTGAAGACAACTCAAACTTATTTTCCAAAATTCATGTAATTTGAAAAAGGTATTAGAAATTTTCAGGGTTCTAGTAATTGTGTTTTATATTTACCATTGGCTTCTAACAATCTCAAATGAACATTTCACATCCTAATATTAAAATAGATGTTGTATTTGTTTATTTATTTACCACACAGTCCATTAACATCGTATTTGGCCCTCAGTTGCTCTTCTTTTTCCTTTATCACATCCCCAGTGTGTGTTAGCAGACAAAGGACACCTGAATCACTATTTGTGTAGCTAGAGGCTTATTCATTGAATCAAAGTTTGTAA